ACCAAGGATGTGAGAAACCTCTACAAGGAAAACTACAAAACGGTGCTGAAATGTTGGAAACAAATGCTTGGTACTGTAAAGAAAAATTAGCACTTAGGGAAAAAATTTTCTCAGCAAGGCAATTTACTTCTGCAGAAAGTGCTGCCTGCATCAGTTACGATTGCAAGAGCTCACTGAACAAAGGAGAGAAGGAGTTTTTATCCCTAATGCAGTTCCTTTCCCTGTGTCCATCCCCTGTTGTCTAGGTTGGACCACACAATCTAAGTCGATCCCAGTTGGCTAAGACTTAAACTTTTTTGAACATGGTAAGCACATAATTTATAAGAGAAGGAGGGGTTGGAGTGGTTTGTTCATTATAGTGCAAGGCATGTCCAGGCACAACTAGAGAGTGGGAGGGTGGTTTGCAGGCTGGAAATAAGAAAGTACAAGGAGGTTAGGCTTTTGAACAAAGGATAAAAACATTACATAATTAAACCTTTTAAAGAGGAACTTATTATTCCTAACATGTGGAAACACATCCGATGCCCATGGATATGTAGAATCAATATTGTGAAAATGACCATACTGCCAAAAGCAGTCTACAAATTCAGTACAATTCCCGTCATAATACCACCATCATTCTTCACAGAACTAGAAAAAATGATCGTGAAATTTATATGCAACCAAAAAAGAGCCCAAATAGCCAAAGCAAGACTAAGCAAAGAGAATAAATCTGGAGACATCACATTATCCAAGTTCAAACTATACTATAGGCCACAATCACCAAAACATCATGGTATTAATATAAAAATAGGCGCATAGACCAATGGAACAGAATAGAGAACCGAGAAATAAAGCCAAATACTTATAGCCAACTGATCTTTGACAAAGCAAACAAGAACATAAAGTGGAGAAAGGACACTCTATTCAGCAAATGGTGCTAGGATAATTGGCAAGCCACAGGTGGAAGAGTAAATCTGGATCCTCATCTCTCACCTTACACAAAAATCAACTCAAGATGGATCAAAGACTTAAATCTAAGACCTGAAATTATAAAGATTCTAGAAGATAATATGGGAAAAAACCTTTGAGACATTGACTTAGGCAAAGGCTTCATTACCAAGAACCCAAAAGTAAATGCAAAAAAACAAGGATAAATAGATGGGACTTGATTAAACTAAAAAGCTTCTGCACAGCAAAAGAAATAATCAGTAGTGTTAACAGACAACCCACAGAGTAAGAGACTATCTTCAAAATTTATGTATCCAACAAAGAACTAATATCCAGGATCTACAAAGAACTCAAATCAGCAAGAAAAAAACAATCCCATCAAAAAATGGGTTAAGGACCTGAATAAACAGTTCTCAAAAGAAGATATCCAAATGGCCAACAAGCATATGAAAAAATGCCCAACATCACTAATTATCAGAGAAATGCAAATCAGAATCACAATGCAATGGCACCTCACTCCTTCAAGAATAGCCATAATAAAAAAATTTAAAAATAATAGATGTTGGCGTGGATGTGGTGAAAAGTGAACACTTTTATACACCCATCAACACCACTATGGAACCACTATGGAAAACAGTGTGGATATTTTTTAAAGAACTGAAAGTAAATCTACCATTTAATCCAACAATCCAACTACTAGGTATCTACCCAGAGGAAAAGAAATCATTATATGAAAAAGATACTTGTACACGCATGTTTATAGCAGCACAATTTGCAATTGCAATCACATGGAATTAGCCTAAATGTCCATCAATAAACAGGTAAATAGAGAAAATGTGACATATATATATAGATAGATAGATAGATAGATCATATATATGTGATATATGTCATGTATATACAAACGTTATATATATTATGTGTGTATATATATCAGTCACACACACACACACATATATATATATATATGATCAAATACTACTCAGCCATTAAAAGAAATGAAATAATGGCATTCACAGCAACCTGGGTGGAATTGGAGACCATTATTCTAAGTGAAGTAACTCAGGAATAGAAACCCAAACATCATAGGTTATCACTCATATGTGGGAGCTAAGCTATGAGGACACAAAAGCAAAGAATGATATGTTGGACTTTGGGGACATGAGGGAAAGTGTGGGGGTGAGGGTGAGGGAAAAAAGACAACCACATTGGGTACAGTGTACACAGCTCGGGTGATAGGTGCACTGAAATCTCAGAAATCAACACTAAAGAACTTACTCATGTAACCAAACACTACCTGTTCTCCAAAAATTTACTGAAATTTAAAAATAATAATAATAAATAAAACAAGTAAATTAAAAAATAGAATGATTTTAATGAAACACCTCACTATGTCAAGTGCTGATGAAGATGTGGAACAGCTAGAATTCTCATGCACTGCTAGACGGGCTGCAGATGGTATAGCTATAGCCACTGTGGGAAATTCTGGCAGATGCAGAGACAGTTAAATATATAACCCATAGGATTCAGCAGTTTCCTCTCTTTGTATTTACCCAAGAGAAATAAAAATGTATATTCACATCAAAACCTCTATGTGAATGTTCATAGTAGTTTTACTTATAATTGCCAAAAACTGAAAACAATTCAAATGACTTTCAATTTTATAAATGGATAAACAAGTGGTTCACTCATTCAGTGGAATACTCAGCATCAAAATAGAATTTAAAAAATTAAAATGGCGGCCGGGCGCGGTGGCTCAAGCCTGTAATCCCAGCACTGTAGGAGGCCAAGGCGGGTGGATCATGAGGTCAAGAGATCGAGACCATCCTGGTCAACATGGTGAAACCCCGTCTCTACTAAAAATACAAAAAAATTAGCTGGGCATGGTGGCGCGTGCCTGTAATCCCAGCAACTCAGGAGGCTGGGGCAGGAGAATTGCCTGAACCCGGGAGGCGGAGGTTGTGGTGAGCCGAGATCGCGCCATTGCACTCCAGCCTGGGTAACAAGAGCAAAACTCCGTCTCAAAAAAAAAAAAAAAAAAAAAAAGGCATTTAGAAAAAGAATGTGCAACAGTGTAGACGAATCTGAAATGCATTATGCTAAGTCAAATAAGCCACATATTTACTCCTGTATTATCATAATAGTCAACTGTAGAAGGTACAACTAAATACAGGCCACACTTTGGAGAAATACAAAGATAAATTTAGTCTCCCTACAGTGATTTTTAGAAGTTTAAAAAATTTAGGGTTTTTATTTATTACTTTTTTTTTTAGAGATAGGGTCTCACTCTGTGGCCCAGCCTGTAGTGCAGTTGCTCACTGCAGCCTCGAACTCCTAGGCTCGGGCAATTCTGCCTCAGCCTACCAAATAGTTGAACCTCTGGTATGTGCCACTATGCCTGGCTAATTTTTATAAAAATTTTTTTAGAGACAGAGGTCTTGCTGTGTTGCCCAGGCTGGTCTCTAACTCCTAGCCTCGAGTGATCCTTTCACCTTGGCCTCCTAAAGTGCTGGATTACAGATGTGAGCCACTGCACCCAGCCAAACTTAGTTTTTTTGCTTGTTTTTTTTTTGTTTGTTTGTTTGCTTTTTGTTTCTACATAAACAGTTTGCCATTTAAAAGACACAATTTTTCAGTCAATTTTGAGTAATTCTGTGAGCCACTAATGCTAGGCCACAGTGGAGCCAGTCTGACCTTGTATTCTGCTTCCAGGACAGCAACACTCTTTTGTTTATGCAACTACAAGGGTATTCCCTTTTCTGATACAGAAGAAAGATGCAGGTCATGTAATGCCAGGCTGTGCAGGCTTCTGTATGACCTGAAAGAAGTTTTCTTGTAATGAAGAAATACACCACTTGTAAATGTGCCTCTGTTTGTTAATCTTTAATATGAAGATGTTGGTGGTGAGCTTTAGAGGTAATCATTAAACTGATTAGAAATGTGCCTGGCACAAAGTAAGTATGCTATACATCTTAACTATTATTATCTAATCCACAATATTCCAGAAGTGTCCAGGCATCCAATAAAATCTAATCACCATATCAGGAAAAACGGAATGAGAAAATGTATTTAGTTTTTCAAATAGGATAATAAAAATACACATATCTGCTCCCACCTTTTGACTTGGGTTAGAAGAGATTCAGGGAAATGATGGTTTCTTCAGTTCTCAAGCAGATGGGAAAGGAGGAGGCCTGGAATGTCAGGGTGGTGGACAGGAGAACCACAGTCAGAAAGGAGCCCTGGGAGGTGTGGCAAGGCTGAAGGCAAAGACTAAAGGATTAGGGACTGGAGGATCCAGGAATCGTGGGGTCAGTGCTTCACTGGGACGTTCTCTTGTTCCAGGGCCATTTATCCAGTTATCTTCCCTCTTCTACTAATATTTGCTGCTAATATCAGTATTTCTTTGTTCTGCAAACATATAGTTCTTTTGATAGTTTTCTGTGGAATTTAATGTTACCTAAGTTTGGAGAACACAGATGTGGAAAAATCCCCTACCCTATTCCTTCCTCCTGTTTTTCTATGTACATTCTCCCTGTTTTGGGGGTGGGGAGGGGAAGGAGGATGCTAAAGTACATATGGGTACATGATATTCTAGATAGTTTTCTAAAATATTATTTGTAATCCTCACTTCAATGTATTCTGAAATTTTGTCAATTTTTAAACTAATATACATACAAAACAATACATAACTGTGTTTTGAGGTGATAGAATCTATCGCATTATTGATTAAACTATCAGTAATCAATAATGCTTTTAAGCCTTAGATCCTAAAATTTGAGAATAGTTTGTAGAATCATAATTCTTATCCTTGAATTTGAAAATCAAGCTCCAATGCTTCTCCAAATTTATTTTCTAAAAATTGATTCATTTGAAAATTGTGTTCTAGGAACTAATTTTACACAAGTATAAGTTTATATGTTCATTGTATTTATTAAACCATAAAGACAATGGCATTAATCATTTGAAATAAAACATTGGAACACTTTTAAAAATTTTTGGAAAACATTTTCTAGCAAGAACATAGAATGTCACATGTATTTTCATATCCATCTTAAAATATTCTTGTTTAGCTGTGCAATGGCGGATCAGTGACTGACCTTGTGAAAGGATTTCTGAAGAGGGGTGAAAGAATGAGTGAGCCTCTAATTGCCTATATTTTACATGAAGCACTAATGGTAAGGCAATTTAAATTGTTTGTGCATTAATTATGAAGCAGCTTCAGTTAAAAAAAAAAGTAGATCTATTTTTAGAAAAATGCCACTACATTAGTTATTTATTGATGCAAGAATATATGCAAAATCTGACATGTTCAGCATAGCTAATTCTTCTTTTCCACTATAAATCTACTCTCGTTATGCTAACAGGATCTTGAATTCTGACCTCTTAAGTATATTTCTGAGACTGTGATAGTGATGAAGGTAGAAAACTAATAACAGGATTTTTTGGCCATTATCTTAAATAAGTATATGAAATATTTTCTTCCATTGAAATGAACACATTTGTAATACGATATTTCAAAGTGAAAATGATGTACTTTGATGTGACTAACTCAATGTGAAACATTTGAGTGTCTGAATGTTAATTTTAACATGTTTCCTATTGATTTTGTACAAGTACATCATCTAAAAATTTTTGTAATTTGATGCTTTTGTTAAGAGTCATTATATCATTATATATTTCCCATCTTCTAGGGACTTCAACATTTGCATAACAACAAAACTATCCACAGAGATGTGAAAGGAAATAATATTCTGTTGACCACTGAAGGCGGAGTGAAACTAGTAGATTTTGGTAAGTTTTGTTCAAAATGCGTGAGTTTTAACTGCATAATGAACTAGTATGATGTGATTTGATCTTTTTTGAATGGCTTTCCTTTCTAGGTATTAAAGTAGAGGAAAAATCAGTAATATCTTATTGAGGTAAGAAGTACAGAGATAATTTGGCAAATGAGATTCCCAGAAGAAAGAGTGACTTCTTTCAAGTCAGCTAGTTTGTGTAACACCAGTGTAGTAACATGAATAGTTGATCCTCTAAAACAGACAGCATCTCAAATGATTACTGTAAGCCTATAATGGCAATCTCCTGGTTCCTACTACTGATTGCTTTGCAAATGGACGTATATCCAAATTCAGGATTTTGAGATGTGAGGGGAAATTTTCATTATCATCTGGGAGTGTTTCTTCCCTCCTAAGGAGACACAGGAAAAGATGGTCTCTTTCTTCCTCAGGACTCTTGTGTGTCTTACGGTGATGCCTGAGACTGCCACAGTTACCTGTGACTAAAGTGCTCTGTCCTAAGCAGAAAGCCAACTCTGAGAAAGGCAAAGCTGAGAGAGGGGAAGGATGGGGGTATTTGATGACATCATTCAGCCACTAAGTCAACTTTGGGGCCTGCCTTATCTCTGGACCTTTTGTTATATGAGATAATAAACTTCCATATTTACTAAGCTTTTCTGTGAGAGTGGGTGACAGTAATCCTGAAGATGCCTCAATATCCTTCAGTCATTATTCTCCTTCCTTTTTGCACTCTAGTTGGATAAGATATCCCTCCTTGTGCTTCTGTAACCTGTGTATACTTCCATGTTTGCATTTATCATATAGAATTATAATTATACATTTAATTGGTTAAAATATATAAAGATACTTAGAAATATAGGTGGACAGACAGGGTCTTTGAGAAGTAGGACTGTGTCTTAGTCTATTTCGTAGACCTAATGTTTTAAGTATAGAAGTTCACTGAGTGCTAGTTGAATGAATGAATCTTCCTTCATTTTGCATTTTGGAAACTAAAGCTCAAAAAGTTAATGGGTTAAGTTTTAAAATTTCTTTAATATCCAAGTGCATAGCTCTCTAACATTTTGGCTTAGGCCAGGAATGAATTTCAGAGCATCTAGAGAGGAATGGATGAATACTGTATCCTCAAATATGCATGTGCATGGGTTTTTTCTCACCTGTGCATTTGAAAACTACTGAGCAGCAGTGAATTTGTGAATTCCTAATTAATAACTGGGGTACAGCTAGTCTATGTTTCTTATTAATAACTGGGGTGTAGCTCGTCTATGTTGCTGGTTAAATTCAGAGCCTTGAGCAATCTTTCTGGGTTAGTGTACTAATAAGGGCTTCTGCTTGAAATTACAATAAAACATTCTTCACTCTTTACAGGAAGGGCCATTATTCTCTCCAGAAAATAATTCTGGCTATACTCTAAGACAGACTCAAATGGAGAACTTGATATTTAACTTGGGATCTCATAATTCCTTGCCCTAAAAAATAGATACAATAAGTATAGCGTAAATTGAAAATTGTTAAAACAAGTATCAGTAAACAACTTTTTAGTCATTAAAGAAAAATTTGGTAAACTGGAAGCTTTGAGAAATGTAAATTCCTATGATTTCCTTCAAAATCAACTAGACTAAAAACATATATTTAGGTAACAAATAAGGCAACCTTTTATATGGTACTGTTTTAAAAAGTCATAAATTGGAATAGTTAAAATGAGAGCTTTGGTCTTAAATTATTTGATTTACAGATTTTCAGCAATAATTAGAAAAGAGGGCCAATTGCTTATTACATGCATTCCTAGTGTCTGACACCATAATATTATTAATTACATATTAGATAGTGTTTATAATATTTCTATTCTCCACAGTAAGAGGACATGGATTCAGTTTGCCTACAGTGATTAGTAGGTTGTGTGAATTAAAACCTGAAGATGGGAGGTGTGTGCATTTATAGTGGAACTTCTTGAGGGCAGAAAGAACAAGATGTTGTAAACCACAACTTCCAAAATCAAACTGAAAATCAATGTCCTCATTTTATTTTTAAATCAAATTTTCAGAGAAAGCTACAGCTGGGAGTAAAGGGTCTTAGAATAAATTTTATTTGAATCTGTTCACTTCATAAGTATACTATCAGCTCATTATTGGGTACTGAAGATCTTAAATGGCTGCTAGGCACCTCATACTCAGAATGTCCAAAGTGGAGCTATACTACCTCATCTGTCTCTAGAAATCTGCTACATATAAAGAGTGTCTTGCCTTAGAAAATCACCCACATCTACTCATTGCTCAAGACGAAAATTTTAGACTCATCCTTGAGTCTTCCCTTGTTTTCACCTCCCACTTATACAACTTAGTCACAAAACTTGTCTCTCTGTTAGATATCCTCAGATTCTATCTTTACTACTCCTGCCCTAGTTCTACCCCTCATCTTTTGCCTGGGCTCCTGCAGACAAAAGTTACTGAACTCTGAATCCTAGTCTCTTTCCCTTCCTTCCAGTCCTTTCTCCACACTGCAGCCAGAGGGATCCTTTCAAAAACCACATCTGATCCTGCCACCACCTTGTTCAGTAACCCATTCAATGACTTCCTCTATCCCTTAGGGAGGATTTTTCCTTACGATCCTCTGTGCTGGCACAAAGTAAGCTAATGAGTAATAACTTTTTTATATTTCTTGGTGCTAATCAGGTACCCTGTCTTCCTATTACCTATTAGCCAGGTCTGCTCCTTTCACTACCTTAAAGGCACCACAGTCTTTCCCAGTCAGAGCTCTTACACTTGTAACTTGGAAAGTACTTTGAAATTTATTTACGTGCTTTTTCTTGTTTTCTTGCCTGAGAAATGATCTTCACCCTAGTGTGCCTGAGACATCTCTCTGTTTGGCAGCAGGGAAATATTAACATTTATTCTAGAAGAAATGCAAATTGCAAAAAAAAAAATGACTGAGGTAACATTCAGCTTCTGGCATTCAAAAATAGAAATTTGTAGCAAGCCTATCTCCCGAGGAAAGACTATCTCCTGAGGAAAGTCTTGTCTAAATTGCTTTACCTTCTCATTAGCATATGGAGAGAGAGTTTTCAGGGATATACCATGGGGTTTTATGTAAGAGAGGATAGAAAAAAGGGAGAAACCTTTTCCAATTCTAGGGTCATTGTGGAAAGATAAAACAGGGTGAGGCAGGGCAGTGAGATGATTTTTTGTTTTTGAAACAGAGTCTCATTCTGTTGCCCAGGTTGGAGTGGAGATGAGCTTTTGAAAAGATAACGAGGGCAGGAAGGAGCTCTTACCTTCTGTATTAGTCCGTTCTCACACTGCTATAAAGAACTACTTGAGACTGGGTAACTTGAAAAGAGATTTAATTGACTCACAGTTCCACAGGCTGTGCAAGAGGCACGGCTGGGGAGGCTTCAGGAAACTTACAATCATGGGAGAAGGGCAAAGGATAAGCCGGCATATCTTACCATGGTAGCAGGAGAGAGAGATTGAAGGGGGAAGGGCTACACACTTTTAAGCAACCACATCTCGTAAGAACTCACTTACTATCACAAAAACAGCAAAGGGAAATCCTCCCCCATGAACCAATTACCTCCCACCAGGTCCTTCCCCCAATACTGGGAATTACAATTTGATACTACGTTTAGGTGGTGTCACAAAACCAAACGATGTTACCCTCACACTTACTACCACTCTCACTTGACATTCCCGGGGAAGCCACTTGGAATCTTCTGCAGTCCTGCCTGGGGTGAGCCGCATCATTGCTAACCTAGAGAGAATGAGTGATCAAAATGGAAACACTCAAGTTAGCTTCCCCAAACCCTTAGCTTTAGTTTCCAGAAACCTGAAAGTAACTGAGAATCTGGCTGGATAGTTTCTAGAGGGGGTTTTTCAAAAGATAAGGGGATGTATAGTGAGGCACTGAGCAGATCCCCTGGACTGACTGTGCTGTGTCTGAACAGGAGTCACAGCCAGACCTAAGTGTTCTCAGCTCCAACTGGAGAAAACTGAGACTTAATCTGCTGGAGGAGCCACAGGAAGCCCTGTCTGCACGAGCTCCCTGGAGGCAGACAATGGCCTAGGTGGCCAGTAGGGCACCTAGAAGCTAGGCAGACAAAAGCATATGGCCCCAGAGACTAGAGAGCCACCATGAGCAAGGACCCTCTCTTTTCTCCCTGACACAAGGTCTTATAAGAAGGAGGAGGGGCAGGCATGGTGGCTTATGCCTGTAACCCCAGCACTTTGAAAGGATGAGGCAGGAGATTGCTTGAGCCCAGGAGTTGGAGGTCAGATTGGGCAATATAGCAAGACCCTGTCTCTACAAAAATTTATTTTAAAAAATTACTCAAGCATGGTCACATGCACCTGTAGCCCCAGCTATTCAGGAGGATGAGGAGGGAGGATTGCTTGGGCCCAGGGGTTCTAGGCTGCAGTGAGCTGCGATTGCGCCACTGCCTTGTAGCCCAGGTGACAGAGCAAGACCCTTTCTGAGGAGGGATGCCATCTGAGAAATGGAGCACTTTTATTCAAGAGAGACTGAACCCTATCTAAAAGGACTTACAGATTTATCGAATTTGACTGAGCTTTCTTTTTCTCCCAGCCAGTGAGCAGGAGCCTGGGGAAAGGTCATAATCATTATAGACAAAATGAAGAAATTATAATTTCTTTTTGTATGTAAGAGTAGATTCTGAATTTTTTGACCAGTTACAAACATGTTGTTTTTCTGTATAGAAACCTTCCCTTTCCTCTGCACCCAGCCAACTTCTGTTTGCCTGAGTTTTCCATAACACCCTGTACTTCATTTAGCCAACCAGTTGTCAGACTTTAGGGTAATCATATATTTTGAGTGCTTTCTCTGCTAAGCTATAGGTTTCTCTGTCTGGTCTATCACTTTGTCCCTAGAACCAAGTACAGTGCTAACATTCTGAAAGTACTTAATAAATGAATGAGTGAAGGAAAGGGGGGACTTGCCATATAATTGTATGACAATGAGAAAGTCACGTAGAATCTCTGAGGACAT